CTCAATCAATATGAGCCCAATGCTTCCTGTCGCCGCTGTCACAGAAATGTTTAAATATCTGTGGAGTTGTTGTTTAAACGTTGCGCGAGTAGGTCGTCCTTAAGTGTTTCTGAGTTTTTTCTTTGAAATGAGGCGAACAGATTTTATTGAGTCGATTTATTTGGGGAGAAACTCAAAAAATTTCAAGCGTTTTGTTTCTGATGACCAGAATCAGCATCTTCCACCTGACAGCCGAACGTCTCGATTTTACTTCGCAGAGACAATTTTTCCCATGCTGCCACCGACCAATCACAGAAATGAGAGCTACAAACACGTTGCAGGTAAACAAAAGGCACTGACGCCGCGTTCATTGTGAGTCCGACTGCACGTGCTCAGTGTTACAAGGCAAGTGAGGAGACATCAGAGAAAGTTTTCACTTTACCTGTGTGGGTGTAGCCACAGGGGGCGGGGCTCCATCCTCCCCCTGGCCCCACTTCTGGTACTGCTTGTAACCAAGGTAACCACCACCAGTCACCAATAGGAAGGGCAGGGGCCGGGGGCCTGGCAGAAGCCCACGTCCTGAAGAGACAACGAGAGCCGATTGGACTACAGAGATTACATCATCCACAAACAAACAACAGCTGAAGAGCTCTGTCTTCTCCAGTTTTGGGGTGGGGGGCTCACCTGTGCTGAAGCGTCTGCAGCTCTGAGAGAAAACTCTGAAAAACAGGAAGGACACTCAAACTGATCAATCAGATCACATCAGTGTTCAATACATGAGACGTTCAGCGTCAGAGAGCACAGGTATCGCCCCTAGTGGACACCTGACACGTTCAGTGGCTTTAAATGAAAGAGACACTTAAAATTCTGGTCTCTCCGAGTTTCAGAAAACAAAGATGCTAAATGGTTAATGACTCATTACCGAAAGCGACACTGAAAAGCTTAAAAAGAATGTATGTGTGTGAAGGTTCTCGGACATCCAGGTCATCGTAGTCCAAAAAGCTTCTTCGGCTCTTCCTTTATAGACAGGTGAGATGAAGAACAGATAAATACCTGCCGCTTCTCCATACCCTCCGAAAGGCCGCCGCCATCTTGTGTTTCCGGACGTGACGTATGACGTCGTGCGTAAGAGCACTACTGGAACGAAGCCCCGCTCCCCCTTTGTCCCACGTGAGGAAACACAAGTATTTCGGTTTATTCTTGATTAAAAAGCTTAAACGATCATAGACGATTTATTGATTTTAAGATGTAATTATTGTTCAATTACGTAACATCCTGATAGCCAAACATGCTCCCACTCTGGACCACACTACTTCACCTAAAGAGCAAACGGGTCTCCCGATCACCTGGAACAGCTGGGACAGATATGTCAGCGGGCTCTTCATCCACTACAGCTCCGCCTTCAAAACGCCCCCCTCTCCACCTGCTCGTACTCACCGACCGCCCACAGAAGGTCAAACTGAGCCCAGAGCTCCACACCTGCTCACTCTAGCAGCACCACAGTGGATTCAGATTGACACTGCTGCGGTTCATCCATAGACAGGAAGTAAGACAGAAACCTCTGAGGGGCTTTAATGTGAAGACAATCGGCGGATCAGTCACGTTAACCCTCAGCTTGCTGGTGTCTTATCGAAGTGACATGGTGTGAGTCACGTGGGGTGATGGTGTAGTTTATTATTGGTGTGAAATCAGTGAAAATCTTAACTAGCAACCAGCCAACAACATAATCAGTGTAAACAGACTGAGGATTATTGATTATCTGGTTATTATTTGGTGTGAGACCTTGAGAGAAAACTGTAAATTTTAATCACTTTTTGTGAAAATCTGAGTAGATACAAAGAAGGAAACAGTGGTATCAAACATACGGCCTGGGTACCAGGATCGGCCAGCAGGATGTGAACTTCATAGAGCAGGTCAGAAGCCGCGAAGACCTTCTCCCTCTCTGGCTGCGGCCCATCACATCAGTCGTCTGTCAAGCCTCAGATTGATGACACAAAGATTAATCTTCAGTCTGTGTGTTTGTGGACAGCTGCGTTCCTAGGGATCCTGCAGGGGCGCTTCAGGATTACGCTGTCTCTGAGCTGCACTCAGAGCTGCCGAGCGACTCCAATCATGACTCTTATGGACAGAAGCCTGGAGTGGAGGAGGATGGAGGTTTGATGATGTTGTGGTCTCTGAGGTAGTTTTGGTGGATTCATCAGGTGGTGTCCTGCAGCTCAGTGAAAGCCGACGTACTCCGCAGGAAAAGGGTGTTGAGACTGTTTTAGATGGAGGCGGTAAAGCAGGCTGTTTTCATGAGTGATGAAGGTGGGACCAGAGCGTGGGCATGGTGCCATGTGAGCACACAGGTAGATACGTACCCACACTCACCCCAGACATGCCGGAGAGACCTCTGACAGATTACAGATAATGTGTAAATTTGAGGATTTCCTATTTTGTCATGGTAACAAACTGTCTGACCTCCCATCTGTTTCATCAGTTCTGTTTCTGTTTGCCTCTGAGCTGCATGGCAGTACCGATCTGCAGCATAAGGTCATTTCCCATCTCTCTGTTAAAGGAGCCAATCAGATCAGTCCAAAAATTAATGATTGCAGTAACTGATCCTTCACAGCCACGGTTGATTGATCAGGAACCACAAACTCTGACACTCCTCTGTGATCTAGCGTTGTTCAGGAGTGTTGATCCAGTATGAGCAAACATTAATGTCCTCTGATCCAGGTGCACACTAACGAGCTCAGGCAAGAAAGTGAGTCCTCCAGGTAATCAGTCTCTTTAAACAGGAACAAAGGGGAACTTTACTGATAATCAAATATCATTATTATGTTAGCAAGTCAACAAGCACATACACAGGAGGTGTTCCTCAATGACCTCTGAATTCAGAAAAATCAAACCAAAAACGTTCCGAGACCAGAAAAACTTTATTGATTCAAAAATAGACTCAGCACACAACATACACACTGCAGGCCTGCAGTACAAAGAGTACTGCACATAACTCTACCCCGTACCATAGAGTACTGGGGGTGGGGGAGGAGAGGGGGACATCTTTAATATTAGCAAAAACGAAAACTTAGACAAAAAAAAAAAAAAAAAAAAGGAGTTAGGTTTTACAGTCCGAGTCACAGGTATCCAATCAGCAGCTTAGTGTCTATAATAAGCCCCACCCTCTTAAAAAGGCTCAAAGGACGTTTTGTCATATTTTCTCTGGTGAGCCTATAGAGGGTATGGTCAGCAGCAGGGGCGTGGCCTTACACACTATAAAAAGATCAAAGCAGGTTTATGTTTCACATCTTCATCGTAACCCAAAACAAAAAAATCCAAAAAAGCCTGCCCACCACATCACCTGATGGCGTTACTATGGTGACACTCAGTCAGTGGGCATAGTAGCAGCTCAGTTTTTTGGCCTTTTGTTAGCTGATAAGAAGTGATATCAGAGCTCATACATCCAGACCCTGCCGAGTCAGGAAGTCTTCAAGCGCGCTCAGTCGCTCCACCAGCATCACGTCCAAGTCCATGTCCTCGCCACCATTGCTGTGGCAATGTCGCCGAGCAGCTGCTCTTTTCCTGGGTACCATAGCAGCAGGAAGTCCCGCCCCTAAACACAAAGAATTTTTCTTCAATCTCACAGTTGATGACAAACAGCTAATCAATAATGAGTAACCACTCTCAGTGTGCCTAGGACAACCTCCCTAATGCAAATTACATTTCCCAGTGTACCTTGTGGTCTCTTCCTTTTTCTGGGCTGCGTGAAATCAGGAAAGAGGAGGAGCCTGCGCCTCTTCTGCTGGCCAATTAGGAGCAGTGCTCCGTCCTTTTCCCGAGGCTCCTCAAAGATGGTTTCCAGACTTCTGCAGGAACAAGCAAACCATGCTGGGAGATGGAGTTTGGATATGGAACCATATTAACATAAAGGGCATGTACAGTCTTTACAGAAAAAACCCTTCACCTGTCATTAGTAGGGATTTGTAGTCTTACCTGTTGTTAGCAGGGGATCTGTAGTTCTTGTTGGTGTAAATCTCCTCTAGACTGAACTCTTTCTTCTTTATTCTGAGAAAGCAAATGTAGGTCCACATTTGAAATAATGTTGGCACTTTTACTGTACATGTAAGTTTTTAGTTCCTTTCCTGACCTTTTGACCTTTGGTAGTCCCATTGGTGTAAGCAGCATTTCACGCGGTGGCGCACGCCGGATTCTGATCTGTGAGACCCGTTTACCATGCTGCTGTAAAAAAAAAATTTAAAAAAAATTTACTGATAGAGTCCCTGTTATTTAATATTTAACCTGGAAGTGGTCTAGGTCACATTAAGGTTCAACATTATGGTGTGCATGGGGCTTGAAACACTTTGGATAGGATCCCAGGACTTCACTGTAGGACTCCACCTCTGTTCAGTGATGGACGTTCATAGTGGTCGTAGATGGCATCCTTTACCCCTCTCAAACTATGTGTGCTCTTAGTCCAAAATATTACATTTAGCATCTTCAAAGAGTAACCTTTGACCTTTTGGTGTAGGTGTTCAGGTGGGTCCAATGACTGTAGAAAATGACACGACAGCACTTCCTCCCATTGTGCAAAAATGAAGCCAAAATATCCTGCTTCTGGAGGCTGCCAACTTGCAATTTCGGAGCCAGAGTCTACAAACTAGTGACTTGAGGTTGAAGTGGAGCGACTGTGTCCCGCTCCCACCCACACACGCTCTGGATGTGACCGCAAACACGACCCCCCATATGGAAAAGAAATAGTAAAAACATATATGATTTACTCATGAAAGTGGCCACTTTCTCATTACTTTCATTTTTTTTTTTAGTAAGTATACAAAACATACAAGTTTTATTGTATAATTTTTCAAGGGATCTTATACGTGTTATATATATGTGTTTTCACTCTTGTATGGTTTTCATACAAGTTTCATACAAGACAGATAAAAACTTTATAAGATTTATATATATCTTTTCCATATGGGCCCCTACACTTTTTACGTAGACCGGCTGCTCCAGTTCATTTGCTGATGGGTTTACCACGACTGACAACTTGTTCAATCAAGGTGAATACAACCACGTCACTGTTACAAAAAAGACACACAGCTTGTCATCTTATAGTTCTACAACATCTACAATCACTCTGTTGTTAATTTGTTTGCTAGATTAGCCGCTAGCATACACACTGTGTTGGAGGCTTGTTGTTACACACCTGTTACTCTAATAGTCTGTATTTTTGAATGATTCAGCACTTCTTAGTTTTTGTTATCCGTTTTTAGACAGCAATGAGATCAGTTGCACACTCCACAGAGGCCCAGAGTTACTGTTAATATCAGAAATGTAATGCTGTCCTTTGAGATTTTAACATAAGACTGTGAGTTTAATGCATGTAAACCTGTTTAAATCTTCAGATCCCTCTACAGCCTGGTAACATGGAAACTTTAGAAATAGCAGAACGTTTCAGTAGTGTAGTCTAATTTGTTATTTTCATTTAATAATAGAGTCCATATTATATCAACAGCTACATTCACCCTGGGGAGAAACTAGTAAAGGAGACCATCAGGACCAAGCTGGGTTTCCTGGATCCAGAGGTTTGGAGAAACTTCTTCCTATTCTTTCATCACAGCTGTCCTGTGCCAGATGTTCTGTTGACCCACTGAGAGAGGCTTCATTTAAGAAAGACTGAAGCTTGTGGTGGGATCAAGGAGGACCTCATGATCTTCACCAGCAGCTCCCTCACAGAGAAATCTTCAGAGCTCCATCGTAGGCCTGCCCCAGAAGATGGATAAACCCAGCATTTCATGAACACTGCGATGGAGACCTTTGCTTTGTGTAATGTTACAAATACTCAGATACTCCTCAAAGGCTCTGGACTTATATTTAAAAATATATTATCCTCCCTGGTTACTCTGGTATGAATAACTCTGAATCACTTAATGATAAATAACACACTATTGTTATTGTAAAGTAATGCTACTCTTACTTGATTACAATTTTTGAATACTCGACCCACCTCTGCCCCTCCTTTTCCCCGAATTTGAAGGATGGGTCGGGTATGTCTGGGTGTGGTCCACCATACCCCAGAATTCATAGCGCGGCTCAGCCAATTCCAGTTTTCAACAATGGCGGCCGCTACTAAGTTTTTAATATTACTCTTATTTCTCTTTCTGGGTCACAAAATAAACTTTTAACATATTTTCAGACGAGAATGTGGGTGTGTAAACTTCAAATATCTGCTCAGTTTATCAAGATATCACATATTTGCAAAAGTGCTCCGACGTTTTCGGAGACGTCTGTTATCCACCAGCTCGATAGCTAGCCGAGAGCTCGAGGGTCACTGAAGCCGCCGAGAAGGGCACAACTCCCGGCACATCATTTTCAGATCACCGCGGCCTTTCGCTACTCAGGTTAAACATAATATATAAGTCACTTAGACAACCTAAAAATGTTATTGTTTGGCTTTTTTCAGTGTTTTATTTGTTCGTGAGTAAATCGGTTTGGCTGAGATTAAAGTTATTAGATTAGATATAATAAAACTTTATTAATCCCAAGGGTCGTTTTTACACAGCTGAATAAAACAGAAAATTGATTAAACAAAAGTGTGAGATGGTCGAGAATTTACGCCAGTGTCCTGTTGTATTTTAGATAGCAAGGAGCAGACAGCTGAGTTTATTAAACTCCACCGAGACAGCGGTGACGCAAATCTGAAAGCTAGACCGTCCAGTTTCACAGCAGTTTACTTCCGGCCTACCCGACCTTCTGAGAACCCGGCCCACGTAGACCGCGGCCGGGTCCTCAGGAGGATGCAGCCCATGAATTTGGACACGACTGTTGTTTGATTTATGCTATGTAGAGATATGAGGACTCCTCCCTGTGACTTTAGTGTTTAGTTTGTTTTCGCAATTCTATAATTTAATAAAGGCCAACATAAGATAGAGAAACACCCTTTACTATTTGAATTTTTTTTTTTAAATAATAAAAACAAGAAAACAACTTCACCTCTCCATTTGTGCTAAGAAACTCAGAGCTGACTGCTGATTGGTCAGCTGGGAGTGAAGCAGGCAATCCATTGGCTGAGCAGGCAGGCAGGGGCCGGGGTCGTCGCCGTGGTAGGTAGAGGCTCTGAGTGCTGTGATTGGACCGCTGCTTCTGCTGTCGCCAGGCAGAAAAGGCTGGACTGAAACGCACAAGAAGCACTTTATTTATTAGATTTTTATCCAAGTAAGAAACACAAGTTAAACTACTTATGATGTTAATAATGATGAGGACATTAAACATATTAATATATCACTGGTTAAACTAATTATATTAATATAGACTGTTTAGTTTCACTGAAGAAAAGATTTATTTGTATAAATGAAAAGTTAAGATTCATTACCTCAATATTAGCGCTTGAACATAACTGTGAAGATGAAACAGAAAGACGCCTGTTAAGTAAATTCTGTGATTTAAAGATTGTTAATTAGCCTAATTTAAAAACAAAGTTCGACCAACCAGTGGTCGCTGCTCAGGCTGGGTGGGGCTGTCCAGTCCTTCAGGGACCGCTGCGGACTACAACAAACTCCACCCCTCACTGAATCCAACATCATTTCCATGGCAGCTGCTGGCAGATGAAGCAGGGGGGCTGGGCTAACAGAATAAGAGGCGGAGCAAACCCTTAGATGGAAAGCAGCGCGATTGGAAGATGGGGCAAGGGGCTGTGTGAAGCCTGAAAAACGCCACTTGCCAGAAGGGACAATGAATAGTTCCGATTGGCTGATGGTCAGACTCTCAGCTGACTGGAGGATATACAAGGCATTCTGGGAGGACAAGCTGCAAGTACAAAAAAATTACAGTTAAATCACCTAAAATGGATTAGCAAGGCCAAAATCTGCGGTGATTGGCTGTTACATCATCAGCCATCACCCCCCTCACCTGTGTTGCAGCAGCGGCACTCTATAACCGTTCTTCCTCACAAACACATTGATTGCCCTCTCTGATTGGCTGGAGCCTTCAGTCTCTGGTCTTTTGTTCTTCCCTTGGCTTAAGTTACACAGCGTGAGCGGCTCCCCCTTTTCACCTCCTCCTCTAACGCAGACAGCCATCTGCCCCACAAAGCGCCCCTCTGCCTCTCCCTCCACCTTCTCTTCTTTCTCTTCTGGACAAACACTGATCTCTCCTTGGTGGTTCTTCCTCCTCCTCTTCCTCCTGCTCACTGTCTCTTCTTCTCCTCTCCTCCTCTTTTGTGATTGAATGGAACTGGAAGAAAAAGGAGACGAGGACGACTCCTCACTATCGGATGATGATGATGATACTGATGATGAAGAGGATATGGTTACAAGTGGCAGAGGCGGGGTACTACAGGAAAAAGAGGAAGTGGAGCTGGACGCAAAGACAGATGGCCCTGAAAGAAACAGGAAACAAGGATCACTTTTTGTAAGTAGATTATAACCCTTTAAAGACCTGCAGGAACCCTCAACAGGAACCCCCAGAAACTCTCTGACATCTGAACACTCAAAGACCTACATTAACTGTCAGAAACTGCCAGAATGTGCAGGAAACCTCAGAGACCTAAATTAACCTACAGGAACCCGCAGGAACTGTGACAGACCTACAAGAAGGCTCAGAGACCTGCAGGAACCAACAAAGGGAATCCCTAGAGGCCTGTAGAAACACCCCTCAGGAACCTCCAGAGACCTGCAGGAAACCTCAGAGAGAGCCCCCAAAGACTTGCCGGAACCTCTTGAGACTTCCAGGAACCTGCAGGACACCTCTGAGACCTGAATGAACATTCAGGAACCGACAGGAACAACCCCCACCCTCAAGACCTAGGAACCTGCAGGAAACCTCAAAGAATTTGCATGATCCCCCAGAGCCCTACCAGAATCTGCATGAAATCTCAGAGAACTAGATGAAATTACAGGTACCTGCAGGAACCTTATTAGACCTCCACTAACCTTCCGAGACCTACCAGAACCTGCAGGAAACCTCAAAGAACTTGCAGTAACCTTCAAAAACGACTCACCAGTCAAACATGATGCTCCTTCTTTGTGTTTCTGGCTGTTCTTCTTCTTCCTCCCCGTCCTTCTGCTCCTCCTTTCCAGAGAATTCAGACGACGGCCAAGAGATGCTAGAGCTCCTCGCAGGAGGCGTCGTACCTCCATCCGGTGGCTTGAGAGGAGGCGAGGCAGGAGAGCGGCGCAGGGGCAACAGGGAGGAGGGGGGAGAGGCGCTAAAGGAGATAAAGAAGAAGCTGGAGGAGGAAGCGGAGGAGTTGAAGGAGGAAGGGGGCTAGCTAAATGTAGAAAAGGAGGAGCTGAACAAGGAGGAGATGAAGACGGAAGAGACGTGGTTGAAGGACGAAGAGGAGGATGAGTGGCTACTGGAACTGAAGGAGTAGGAGCTGAGGGAGGAAGAAGAGAGAAAGGAGGAGAAGAAAAAGAATGTTGATGGGGAGGAGTAACAGAGGAGGAGAAACAGGCTGTTAGCCTTTGTAAATCATCAGGAAATAAAAACACAAAAACAAATGCACACCTGATTTTGTGTCCTCATCCCCATCAACCAATGGGAGAACATGGGGCGGAGACATCACCACTAGGTTTTGGCCCCTGCCGTCACTCTCGATTAGTGTAAGCGGTCGAGAGAGCATGGTGAAAACTGCCAGAGAGAGACTAATGAATACAATCAGAAATTATGTTTCATGTGACACAGATTAAAACTTTGTAATGATGTCATTGTCCTGAAAAATGAAAATATAAAAGCTAGACAACATGGCTGCACTTCCTCCCATTGTAGAAAAATGAAGCCAAAATTTCCCAGTTGTGGGAGCTGCCATGTTGCACTTTTGGAGCCAGAGGCTGTGTCTCAATTCAGGGGCTGCAACCTTCGAAGGCTGCATTTGTAGGCCGATTACATCACAGCAACGCGACGAAGGCTGTCCCAACTCGAAGACTCCGACAAATGCAGCCGACAAATGCGTCCTTCATTTCCCCAAATTTTAAGGATGGGTCGGGTGTGTACTTTGTGGCCCAACATATCCCAGAATTCATAGCGCGGCCCAACCAATTCCAGTTTCCAACAATGACGGCAGCTACTTAGTTGTAATATTACTCTTATTACGCTTTTCAATACTTTATTAATTAAATTATTGTTCATAATGTTTCCATAATAATATAAAAATACTTTCCAAACGCGGCAATAGTGGAGGAGCGTGGCTAAAGAGTTTGAAACGTTACTCTTTCTGGGTCAAAAAACTAATTTTTAACATATTTTCAGGCGAGAATGTAGCTGTGTAAACTTCAAATATTGGCTCTGTTTTGCAAATATGTGATGTCTTGATAAAGTGCTCAGAGACGTCTGTTACCCACCAGCTCGATAGCGCACCAGGTGGTCGAGGCTCACTAGAGCCAGCGAGAACACCGGATTCTCGGCACATTGCTTTCAGACTAGTGCTGAACGATTATGGAAAATAATCTAATTGCGATTGCGATGCGATATGCGATTATTTTTTAAGGTCTTTGTCTTCTGTATTATTAAACAAAGACAAGCAATACATCATATAGTATGGCCAATACTATATTACATTAATTTTAAACTGTTCTTTCCTGGAAGACAGACCTCTGTTATGATGACATGAGGTGATGCATGAATTGATGACTGACATTTTTATTTAACTTCTTCAATCACAACAGTATATTTGAACATACACAATAGTTTATTTTTAGCTTACAAACATCTGAGCATAAAGTGCTGACAAGGAATTGGTGTAAACATTAAAATGAAAGTCAGTACAATGTGCAGATTGCAGAAATATACATAAAAAAAATCAGTGGCTTTACCACACTCAGTTTTTCGACATCTGTGAACTACTAGACAGTCATTCAATTAAAAAATAATATTAAATAAATAAAACTAATAAATAAAAAATACACACATCTTACTGATCTCTGCAGTCAGTAACATTACACATAAAGTGCAAACATAATAGCAATTGTATAAACACACACACAAACACGCCTGAAATTGGACGGTCTAGCGGCTAGTTCTGATTAGGGTCACCGCTGTCTCGGTGGAGTTTAATAAACTCGGCCGTCTGCTTCTTGCTATCTAAAATATAACCAGACACTGGTGTAAATTCTCGACTGTCTCATACTTCTGTTTAATAAGTTTTCTGTTTGATGTTTATTCAGCTGTGTGAAAACCAAGGAGGAACCCACCCGGGGGATTAATAAAGTTTTATTTTATCTAATCTAATAACTTTAATCTCAGCCAAACCGATTTACTCACGAACAAACAAAACACTGAAAAAAGCCCAACAATAACATTTTTAGGTTGTCTAAGTGACTTATATATTACGTTTAACCCGAGCAGCGAAACTCCGCGGTGATCTGAAAATGATGTGCCGGGAGTTGTGCCGTTCTCGGCCGCATCAGTAACCCTCGAGGGTAGCAGACGCCTCCGAAAACGTCGAAGCACTTTTGCAAATATGGGATATCTTGATAAACAGAGCAGATATTTGATGTTTACACAGCTACTTTCTCGCCTGAAAATATGTTAAAAGTTTATTTTGTGACCCAGAAAGATTAGTATGAGTAATTTTAAAACTTAGTAGCGGCCGCCATTGCTGGAAACTGGAGTTTGGCTGGGCCGCGCTATGAATTCTGGGATATGGTAGTAATTTGGACAGCCTTCGGCGCGTCGCTGTGACGTAATCGGTCTACAAATGCGGCCTCAGGAGGATGCAGCCCATGAATTTGGACATGTCCAAAGTATAATCGCAGCCTTTGCGGTTAGAAAATTGCACTCGATCATGTCGCGATATTATCGCAAATGCGATATATCGTTCAGCCCTATTTCAGACCCCCGCGGTCTTTCACTACTCAGGTTAAACATGATATAAAAGTCACTTAGATAACTTAAAGATGTTATCATTCGGCTTTTTTCAGTGTTTTATTTGTCCCTGAGTAAATTGGTTTGGCTGAGATTAAAGTTATAGTTTTCAAACAGCTGAAAGAGAAAACTGATTAAACAGAAGTGTGAGATGGTCGAGAATTTACTCCAATGTCCTGTTATATTTTACATAGCAAGGAGCAGACGGCTGAGTTTCTTAAACTCCACCAAGACAGCGGTGACGCAAATCTGAAGGCCAGACAGTCCCATTTCACAGCCTCGCGCTTCCGGCTTTCTCAGTCTTCGGAGGACCCGGCCTTCGTGGTCTATGTGGGCTGGGCCCTGAATTGAAACACAGTCGGAGTCTGCGCAGTAGTGACTTGGGGTGGAGCATCTGCATCACGCTCCTGCCCACACACACCCCTACACTTTTTACGTAGACCGGCTGCTCCAGTTTATCTGCTGATGGGTTTACCACGACTGATGACTTGTTAAATTAAGGTAAATACAACCAGATCACTACTATGAAAAAGACACAAAACTTATCTTATAGTTCTACAACATCTACAATCACTCTGTTCAGAGCACTCTACAGCCTGGTAACATGGAAACTTTCGAAATGGCAGGTTTGAGTAGTGTAGTCTAATTTGTTCTTTTCATTTAATAATGGAGTCCATATTATTATCATCAACAGCTACATTCACCCTGTGGAGAAACTAGTAAAGAAGACCATCAGGACCAAGCTGGGTTTCCTGGGTCCAGAGGTTTAGAGAAACTTCCTCCTATTCTTTCATCACATCTGTCCTGTGCCAGAAGTTCTGTTGACCCACTGAGAGAGGCTTCATTTAAGAAACACCAGGAAGACTAAAGCTTATTGCAGGGATCAAGGAGGACTCATGATCTTCACCAGCAGCTCCCTCACAGGGAAATCTTCAGAGCTCCACCATAAGCCCCCGCCTCAGAAGATGGATAAACCCAGCATTTCATGAACACTGTGATGGAGACTTGCTTTGTCTAATGTTAGAAGTATTCAGATCATTCTCAGAGGTACTGGACTTTTACACAAAGATATTATATTCAGTCCTGTAGAAAGTTATATATTTAAAAATAAATTATCCTCTCTGGTTAATCTTGTATGAATGACTCCGGATTACTTTATGATAAATAACACACCATTGGCAAAAAAAACAGTGAAAGAATTCCAGATGACAAGTTTTTAGCTCAACATACAAGTGACGACCTTTGACCTTCATCAGGTTTTATTTAATTGTGTCAGAGAAAATCTCATGTGCTCTTCATGCAGCTGAGTACATCAAGTGTTTAAAACAGAAACTGTGCAGGTCTGAGATCAGCAGCTCTGTGAAACACCAAACTGAGGTCCTGTTAATGCTGATATATAGTGACACAGATACACGGGTGATTAATCCTTTTGTCTTTAACTTTATCAATAAAACAGCTGCAGCTTTCACTGACAGCACATGTGTTACTTTAACCTTTGTACTGTTTTCATCAGTTAATTTTGCAGTTACTACAAAGAGTGAAGATATAGGGTGATCTATCTGCTGTCACTGGGTGGTGCTGAGGTCTGAATCTGAGGGCAGCTCCTGTAATCACAAAGAGAACAGAACCATCACAAACTGAAATATAAAGTTTATCTCTCAAATCTGAAATAAAGCTGATCCTTCTCTGTCCCACACGCTCAGGGTCTGAAGTTCTTCTCTTACATTTTTTCAGTTCTAAAGTTCTGCTGACAGCTGACATATGAGCTGTTAAAAAAGAACAAATACTTATATACTAACACATTTTCCAGTATAATGTTTACCTTTGAATCGCTGGTGCTTTTTAAGTGGAGATTTGCTAAGAGGAGATGATGGAGCAGGTTTCAGTCCTGGTTCAGTCTGCTGTTGCATCGTGGTCACCAACATACAGACGTGTTATCAACAGTGTTTGAGCTGCTGCCTGAGTATTGGACAAATATTAATACTTTAAATTATTTCCCTCAAAGGATGTAAGCTGTAAGCAGTACTGCAGAAGTAACTTTGTGAAAAATATCTCATTTAAAATCATCCAGGCTGTTATTTTAACCGGAACATTTGAAAAAAGAAAACAACTTTAACTTAAGCTGCCAAACGGCCGTAGTTGGTTTCAGTACAGGGCTTTGCTATTTTCATCCATAGTTAATGATTAATGAAGGGGTAAGGGTCCAAGCTTCTTTTTTTTTTTTTTTTTTTACTGTCCTTACAGATGTAGCAAGAGACAGAAAACATGCTGCTGTTTGCACATATTTAATAATCGTAATAGTAACGGTAGTTGGTGACTGAGCGGCCTGGTGCTTTTATGATTTCATTAGTCAGGGTAAATTCATTCACCTGCACGGATTAGCTAAACAAACGTTACAAAACAAGTTTCCCCAACAGCCGAGTGCTCATCTTAGGGAGCTAGGTCTCAGGACCTAGTTGCGGACATTAGTTACAGATTAGCTTACAAACACGTTTAACTTACCGAAAAAGTGCAGTGGGGCCTCGGGTCCTTCTGTTGGGTAGTCCAGTTTACTGAAGAACACCTCAGGCTGTTAGTTTGAAACAGTCGGTGCAGTTTTGTAAGATAAACACTGGACCTCCTCTCAGATCTATCTGCCTTTCCCGAAAGAGATACGCAAGTTTCTCCGTTACTGCAGCTGCCAGTCAAAGCTGTTATGATAAAGTTCCATCCCAATTTAACAGCATTATGGTAGTAATTACAATCAAACTTATGAGTAAGGAGACCCCTAAAAAACAAATCAGAGTCATGAGAACTACCGTTAGTGGAAGGAAGCATTTTTGGAAGAAGTTTATTTGAGGAGATTTTTTTAAATTTTAGTCTGACCCCAGTCCCATCCACTAACATGGAGGAGGCAGGATTTATGACCTATACTGCAGCCAGACACTAGGGGGCGATAGAGATATGCTTAATTTTTGGGGAGCTATTAGGTCGTATCTTGTAGTGATGGGTCAGTCGTGAACGAAATGGCTCTTAGAGCCGAGTCTTTGACGTGAACGACGCGAGCCAGTTCCTTATCGCGAGCCGTGGGGTTCCCCCCCCCTTTCTCTCACCCTCTCTCTCGCACAGAAACGGCCCTAACCAATCTGGCGC